CGATTACGATAAATATCCATGCGCATTATACTATCGTTTACGTGTATTCATTATACTTCACTGAAAAACAAGACATGCTGCTGTAAAAAAAAAAAAGGCGACTATATTACAAAATAAAGTTATGGTTGATTCGTATTCATTGAGCCGAAGCGATATTGATGAAACTCCCTGTCGCGATATCGATGAAAAAAAAAAAAAGAAACAGGTTTGATCTTTCTTTTTCTTTCTTTTCTTTTTTTTTCCTAGAAATTTTAACTTTACAATCTAGTTAATTTCATTCGTCGTGTTAGACACGAGATCGGTTCTCACGAGTGTTCTCACATCTGCCGACGAGCGTCTCGGAATTCCGTGACCGGGTCGCGATCCGCGCTGGTTCCTTCGGTACGCGGTCGATCCCCGCCATGAAAACGATCGCGCGACCGCGACGAGCCGAGCAGTCAGAGTCAGTACGTGCTGGTCGCTCGGCCGGTTTGGTTCGCGCGTAAAACGTGCAGCGTGACGCGACGCCGGCTACGGGATCGGCAGCTGCCGCCGCTCTCGCGCGCCCGAGTGTCGGTTGACGTTTCGCCCCGTGAGAAACCCGTTGCCGCGAGTCTGCGCGTGTGTGCGGTCGGTATGCGGGCAGCCCCGTTGGCTGGCTGGCTGGTTAGTCGGTTGGCTGGTGGCTGGTTGGCTCGGGCAGCGGGCGTCCTCTCACGTGCGTGCACGCGTGCACGCGCATCATCCCCGTTCGCGCCACTGTGTTTTCGCCACTGTGTGTGTGTGTGTGGTGTGTGTGCTTATGCGTGCGTGCGTGCGTGCGTGCGTGTGTGGCTTTGAAAATTTGAAAAGCGACGTGCGCGAGTGCAGCGAACAGCCGCGCGGCGCAGGTGCCGCGCGGAAAGAAAAAGGAAGGAACAGGCGAGCGATCGCATAAAGATAAGGATTTTTCTCCCTTTCCACGGTGGAGGATTCACGTGGCGAAGGATCTTCCCTCGTCTCTTCTTCGTCGTCGTCGTCGTCGGAGTCGGAAACGTCGGCGATACAGCCCAGCGGAATGTGGCACGAGGTGAGT